TATTATGTATTAAATGACTAATAAGAAGACTTGTGATTGTTTTGATCATTTCATAATTTATATGTTTTCAGTAAGACTTAAATTTTGACAACTTGCTCTTTATTTCAATGTCCTAGGTAGCTAAATGGAAATATCAATTCTTAATTTCTGAGCTAGAGAATTTAATGATGAGCTTTCCAGTTAGATTATTTAAATTTTTGCATCTTGTATTCATATCTTTTATTACTATCATATTTTTAGAAAATGTGATCTCTACTTTTAGTTTGAAATGAGTACTTTTACTGTTCTTCAGGAAGTATGATCTCATAGGTTGGAGTAGACATGATATCATCCAATGTATTCTGAGCCTTCTGGTAGAGAAGTGGATAAACAGAATTGGCTGTTTTTAACAAAGAAGAGAAGACTCAAACCTGAAACTCCAGTTTTTTTTGTTATGTTCACATTTTGATTTATCTACATGGACATATTGGAATAAAATGGCTTCTGAAGAAATGGGACTCTGAAAGGCAATTTTTTTCCCCTACTAGCTGATTTTTTTTGAGATGAGGCATCTCTATGTTTCTCAGGCAGGTCATGAACTTCTGGGCTCCAGTGATCCTACTGTCTCAGCCTGCTAAGAACCTGGGACTACAGTCGTGCACCATTAGAAGTTAAACTTGAGGTTCTAGATGGAAGTAATATGTGAAGGGGGTGTCTTTTGCTGGTGGAGAAATAGTGACCAAGGCTCGCATCTCCAGGTAAATAGAGACTTTTTAAACTGAAAGCTGAGCAGTGTACATCCCTTCTATTGGGGGAGGCCCCATTTGTCTGGGACACAACAGGTGGGTAGCTGAGACCACAAAGACCTTTTGCCTGCTCCCTAGACCAGTTCAAATCCCATGACTTCTTCTAAACTGTGTTTTCAGATTGCCATATTAATATGGAAAACTCAATTTCTCTTCTCTTTCTCAAATTCAGCTCATTTGACCAATATGTATTGTGTCTTTATATGTGTCAGCAACTGTCCCATATTCTGGAATTTTGGTGATGAGTAAAATAGACAAAACAGAAAGCAGCAGGTGGGGCATGACTGTAATCTTAGCTACTTAGGAGACTGAGATCAGGAGAATCAAGGTTCCAGGTCAGCCGAGGCAAATAGTTTGTGAGATCCCCATCCCTAAACCAACTTTAAAAGTGGGAAGCACTGAATTCAAACCCCAGTCCCACCAATAAAAAAAATATAGACAAAACCCTGAAATTCACAGGGCATTTCATTTTTCTTAAAGCTGTTTGATATATTTGTTTGTCTTCTGAATATGTATATGTGGACTTTTTTGTAATATCAAATATTTAAAATCCATCACAGAACTTTATCTTTTAAAAAGAGATTCTAGGGCTGGTGGAGTGGCTCAAGTTGTAGAGCACTTGCCTAGAAAGTGTGAGGCCCTGAGTTCAAACCCCAGTACTGCCTCTCCCCCAAAAACATCCTATTTAAATTTCTTTGTAAATAAATAGTCTTACATAAGTAATAAGGCATCTCCTATACATCCTGTGTTTTCATGTTTGGTCTTCTAAGGAGAGGCATCTTCTCTAATGTGTGAAGAAAGCCGTCACAGAGAGAAGCATAGTGTAGTTAAGTCTTATCATTACTTATTTGGCATGTGTGACCTTGAGGTTAGTCACATTTCTCTACAAGACGCAGAAAGGTTTTTTTTTTTACCAGCATGCAATGATAAAAGATGACCAGTAGTAGTCGCTGAGAGCCCACTTTTTGGGCCCAGTGCTCTCAGTGCAGACTTTGATGCTTGTCAGCAAACACATTTGCCTGTGTGTTATGAATTAGCATTCTAGCTGAATGGTTTCGTTGAAATTTTTAGATGTAAATGATAGGAGAACAATTAAACCAGTTGTTTCCTTTGTTCAGTACACATCTGGGTTTTAGAGCATCGATTGGCCCTCTAATCTTCCCTTTCAAATACCTTAGAGTAAAAATAAAATTAAGGATATTCTGCATACATCATAGAACAGACTCTTACATTTTTTGTAATGAAAATATATTGGGTTTAGGGGTCAGAAGACCTGAAGTCATGTCTTATCTGTCCCTTTGTAGTTTTGTTATATACTGCAGAAATGTAAGGAGTTTTCTGGGAGAAAATTAACCAAAAAAGTTTTTGTCTGGATGGTCTGAGAAACTACTGTTGACACAATCTGGGGTGACTGAACCCTGAGAGGCTCAGTGTCACAACTGGAAGGGACTGTGCTGGACCTGCAGTGTTGAATTATTAGGTTATTTTGTGTGAGAAGTCAGAGCCTAATCACAAGGAGCGCTCTGGCTCTACTTCTCTGGCCTTCTCTGGCTGCCTGACTTCCTTTGAATAGGAGGATGCCTGACACATCCTCTCTTTACAGCTAATTTATTCTAACAGGTTATGTCTTGCTAACTGAGGTTGGGTAGCATTTTGCACATGTATCCTGGAATCCTGGGATTGTTTATCCACTGATCTTATAATTTCTTTCATTAGATAATGATAACAATAACCCAATTATTTATAGCTTCATGTCCATCAAAGGCAGCTGACATTTCTAAATGATCTTTGTTGCCTATAAATAATATGAACAGTAGCTGATACTAATGAGTGTCTGTCAGTGTTAGGCCCTGTGCTAAGCACTTTGCATAAGCTATCTCATATCTCACTTAATTGCCACAATACCTCTAAGGGAGCATTTTGCTATTCTCACTACAAAGTAAAGAACCTAACAGTCACATAGGTTAAGGAACAGTCCAATTGGTGAAGATGGAATGTGAACCCAGGAGGCTCCACTCCAAGGCAACTGAACAACCTAGCAATTCGTTTTACCACTTAGTGCCTGCGTTCTGAAATCTGGCTTTGCAACCACCTCTGTGTGTGTGACCTGTGGGTGAGCTGGGCATTGCTGAATTCTACTTGGTTGAATTTTCATGGTTAAAATGGCAAATGTTAACGGAGTCACAAGAGTGCAGATTTCATAACTACTTTTGCAATGAATTGATGTTCCTTGAGATTTATATTATACGCAGTACAGAAACTATTTTTGAATGTTATGAAAACATTCAGATTAATAGTTTCTGGTGATAAAATACTTTAAACACAGTGGTTCATTCAAAGAAGGAATATAGTCCTATAAAAGAGTTTCCACAAATCATACTTGCATGAATGCAAGGAGAGTACATAGGAATGCAAAAGCAAGGGTTCTGAAGCATATTATAACAATAGGAGTCCAAGTGTTTGAGCATTTGGTTTGAACCAGACATTATTTTAAGCTCTGTTTGTGTATTAACCTTCATAATCATCATGAAACCTATAAGGTCCAGGCGCCAGTGGCTCACGCCTGTAATCCTAGCTACTCAGGAGGCAGAGATCAGGATGATGGCAGTTTGAAACCAGCCTGGGGAAATAGTTCCAGGGACCCTGTATGGATAAAAACCCACAAAAAAGAGCTGGTGGAGTGGCTCAAAGTGTAGGCCCTGAGTTCAAGCCCCAGTACTGCCCAAAACAAAACAAAAACCCTATGAAATAGGCACCATTTCCATCTTCATTTTACAAATGAGAAAAGGAGGTTAAATTTTGTGATGTAATTTGATCACACAGCTAGTAAGTAGTGGAGTCAGGATTTGCACTCAGCTGCCTGGCCTATGTTTGTAATCCCTGTGATTTCTGGGTTTCCCTTGTTACAGAGGCATTTTTGTTTGTGCGCTTTTGTGGTCTACAAGGAAACACGATTGTCTCCTCAAGATCTATCTTCCCTGGAAGACATGAGTATGACCCCAGATGAGAAATACCACGGGAAGCTCAGGATCTATGATTTATGATCCACATGTGAGGTTTTAGAATGCTGAGCAGGATGTTTTCACTCTTGCCAAAATTCTTCGCATCTTTAAATTGAATAATTGGTGAGGAGACAGTGGCCTAGAAGAGTAGATCAAGAAATATATTAAGATAAGACAAATAGTTTGAAGAGAGTTAAGTCTCTTTGATATCAACACAGGACTTCTCTACGTGATAAGTGGGTGCAGATAAGGGAACTTCCTTGAATGCGCGGAGAGAAGGTGGCTTACATTTGTGCACTCACTCTAGGCTAAGCAGTTTTCTCAGTAGGTACAAATATTAACTTATTTCCAGTGAGCTGGAACAGTCAGCTTAGCTTCTAAAGAAAATATCAGAGATGGGACACTTGAGTCCTTTAGAAATGTTCAGAACATTATCAGGACCAGCTAGGAATGGTTAGTGGGGGAAGAGGAAGGTGAGATGGGCACAAGCAGCCTTCACCTTCCTAGTGTTGTGAACTTGGGTAACAACCTTCCTCACGCTGCTGCTTCTATGTGTAATTTCTCCTGCCACAAAGGTGCTTGTGAGGACTCAATGAGCTAATATATGTAAATTGCATGTCCATAATAAGTAACACAGCTATGTGAAATTACTGTTGGCTGCTGATGGCTTTCTTTCAATCATCGGAGAGGTTTTTTTTTTTTTTTTTTGGTTCCTACTAGTAACTACAGTATGCTGAATACTTGAATACTTCGTTTCTGTCCCTCAGGGCAGTTATCAGTCTCTTATAATCCCCCTACCTGTACCGTGCGCCCTTGGGGGTGCCCTTGGGGGTGCTCACAGCTGGAAAGAAGGAGCCAGAGGTAGAAATTGAAGAGTGATGGAGAGAAACGGAGACCTAGAGAAAGAGGAGAGAGGGGAAGCAGGAAGAGAAATAATTTGCAGAACTCGAGCGAGCCTGACGTGCGCCCCCTTTGCGCTATCCACATCTTGGACTTGGATCGCGTTACTTTCTTTCCAGCGCTGACAGCGTCACCCGGCCGGGCGGGGCGGCCTGATGGTCCCCCTCCATTTACCCTGCTCTCTCTACACCCCGCTTCGGAGCCCGCCCCGCCATTGGTCGGCTTGACCCGGGGCTGTCACCGATTGGCGCTCGTTGGCCCGGGCCACCGGGTTTAAAGAGGGGGGTGGGGGCTCGCTGCGGCTGGCCGGTACCTGTCCCTGCCGTGGGCCCGCTGCGCCATCGGAGCTGGGATCGCAGCTTCTCAACAGCCCGCGCCGTCTCGAGTGTCCCACCTTGGGCGGTCGCCCACTACCACTGCAGTAGAGGGAGTACCAGGGCAGGCGCTGTCCAGCCCGGGGAGGGGAACAGCCAGTGAGGGTCGAGGCGAGGGGACCGTCGGGAGGCCACCATGGTGGCCACGTGCCTGCAGGTGGTGGGCTTCGTCACGAGCTTCGTGGGCTGGATCGGCATCATTGTCACTACTTCCACTAATGACTGGGTGGTGACCTGTGGCTACACCATCCCCACCTGCCGCAAGCTGGACGAACTGGGCTCCAAGGGGCTGTGGGCTGATTGTGTGATGGCCACTGGTCTGTACCACTGCAAGCCCCTGGTGGACATCCTCATCCTGCCGGGTAAGGACACCTACCTTGCAAAAGGCTGCTACTAAACCCCCTACTATCTCAGACTACAGGGAGGGGGCAGTAGAAACATCGGGGGCTTTGGGCGCATTTTTGATATCCCAGTCCCACCTTGTAGAATTAGGCAGCTCTAAACTTAACCATCTCTCGGCCTCAGTTTTCTGATCTTAAATTTGGGATAATAACGGCAGTCGTTTCGAGAATTTAACTGAACTGAGGCCTTTTTTGACACCTGGTGGAAACTCGATCTATGCGAATTCCCACTGCCCCATCCAACCCAAGCCCCACCTGTCAATTGACCAGAAAGTGCTTCACTGCCCTGGCCCCAGCCTCCTCCTGCAGACTCCGTGCTCTCGGTAGATTCCTTCCACAGAAGAGAGTGAACCTCAAGCATCCCAGCAGTTCAAATGGGTGCGGGCTGAGTTTCCCTGTCCCGGCGGGACGGTGGAGGCGTCCGGGAAAGGTTAGTGCTCTTCACGTCCAAGGGCATCTCTGGGCTGGGGCACAAATCGCTGCCCAGCTCACTCCCCCGACCCCCAGGGGTGTCTCTGAATGGGGTGGGGTGGAAAGAATTGACAAGCATCTACCTCTTCGACGATGGGCAGTGCCCCATCTTCCTTTTCTGTCCCGTGGAAAAATTCTGGAAAACAGTTTCAATTCCGATTTAAGTCATGAGTCAGTTGGATTAATAGCGAGAACACAGGTGCCTTCTCGGGTTTTCTGTGCTGGTCTGGGGACCTATCCTAGCCCTGACCCCTACACGGTTGCCTCTTGGCTCTGTCTCGCTAGCCATTGTAGATAGTGCACATTCAAAGGCATGTCCTACTTGCTTAAGACGGGGAGAAAGAGGACGCTGCAGAGGCCAGTCTGTGAGCCAAACACTTCCTCCCTTCTCCAGGAACAGTCTTTCACTCCCCAGAGACGGGACCCCCTTTAAATGCCCCGAGCCTCCCTGTCTCCTAGACCTGGCAGTTGGAACCAATTCCCCTTCTACTTTTCTTCTATCTTTTTAAAATTCATTACTTGTGAGTTCATTTCTCTGTTACATCTTAAATTCTTTGAAAATACAAATGATGTCCTACTCTCTTTTCATCCTCTCCTGATAGAGTGTTGCCTCAGGCACACAGTAGGAGGGCACATCATTGTCAGGCCTGCCTTTCACTATCCTGTACTCCTGCTCAGCCTTTCAGAAAGACAGAGGTTGGGAAGCCCAGGTGTGGACCAGGCTTCAGTTAATTCTGACTTTGGTAGATCTGGGTCAGACCCCAGGACCCAATGGTCACAATCCAGTGATTTTTGGGACAAGTTGTTAACCTTCAAGGAACCCAAAAAGTCTTCTTTTGAAAATTAAAATCAAACCAACCACGTAACTTTCAAGATTGCTTTAGGGATTAAGTGAGATGAGAAATAGACTTCCTTTGAAGTAGTAAATTTTCCATAAAGGGTGGCTATAGTTTTCTATTAAAAAGCTGCACCTGAATGAAGAGACCTTTTGACCAAAGCATGAAATTATTCTCTGCTTCCCTTCCCTAAAGTGAAATTTATTGAGCTTTCAGTGCCAAGAGGTTTGTTTTCAGAGAAAAAAACAGGCCATCCTCCATGGGGGAGTACATTTTAAGGAAAGCCTAAGGAGCTCTGTTCTCCCCCTCCCTAAAATTGTGTGTGAGGGCAGGGACAGTCCTTGGTTTCCATCCTTTGACTCCCAGACATGACCTTGGCACTGTAGCATGTGGACAGCCTGTGCCATGCATTTCAGAACCTTATTGCTAGTTGACTGCCTTCTTTGTGTCAGCTCTGGCTGTCCTCCAAGTTGCAGGGCAGGGAGTTGGGGCTCAGACTTCCGGGGCTCCTCTCTGGGGGTCTTCAGGTCAATAGATACTTGATTTATTATCTTTAATTCCGAAGTTGAGATGGGCAGTAGTTGGAAGGGAGCCTTTGCAGAGTCTAAATTCTGGCAAAACATACGTTGCTATGGGACAGTGTTGAAGTTAGGTCTTCATGAACAAGACAGGTTGGCTGGGTTTGGTGCAAGGGTCCTGGTATGTGAGGCAGAACTGGGGACAGTTTCATGGCATTGCCATTAACTGCTCTACTCACTCTAATTCTGCCTGAGCCAAAAAGGGAGAATAATAAATATAATCTTTTTTTTTTTAAAGGGAGACTGTTTTAATGAGAAAATAAATTTAAAAGTGAAACAGTAAATTTAAGTCTGTGAAATTCTCCCAGTACCTGGTCGAGTTTTTCTACATAAATATTGTACATATTATAATCTGTTTCTTCACAAAGCTGTTATTTAGCATTTTATCAGACAGTATAAGACAGCTAGTTTTGCTCTAATTATTTGTAGCATCTTTTGTGGGTACATGAAGACCAGAGCAGGTGTCTACCCTCCAGGAATCCCCAGGGAAGGAGAGATACTTTTTAAGGCAATGATGGTTAGGAAAGCATGCCCAGGGCATCGCGAGTGAGGCAAGAGATGGAGCTTGACCCTCGACAGGGGACAGGATTCACAAGGACCACAGCCTCTGAGACCATAGCAGAGAGAAAGGGAGAGGAAGCCTGAGGCTTAGCTTACTCTAGTTTAGGGCCACACGTTATTCATGCTCAATGTGAATTAAAGCACATAGTTAGGGACCAATCAGTTTGCCTGTAGATAAAAGTATTGTACTGGGCCAGGCATGGTGACGTATGCTTGTAGTCCCAGCATTGAGGAGGCTGAAGCAGGAGAATGTGAGTTTGAGGTCAGCCTAGGCTACATAGTGAGACTCTGTTTCAAAAAAAAAAAAAGGGTGAAGTATTTCATTACAAAGAACAGTAACATCAGTAATGATAACTAACTTTTTTGAGTACTTAATATTGAAATTGTTCTAAGCACTGTATAATTAATTTGCTCTTCAGTAGTGTTCTGTTAGAAAGATGTAAGGACTGTTATTATTAGTGCTACTACTACTTTATTGATGAAGAAAGTAAAACATAACAGTTAAGGACCTTGCCCAAGGGCACACACGAACGGAGAGCATGTCATCAGTAGACTGGAGCCCAAAACAGACCATCGTAGAAGACTTCTTTGAAGATTTGAGTTTCATCTGAATCTTTGGCGAGGTGTTGTAATGATGTAAATAGACGTTTGACCCTTCCATCCTGGAAGCTCGGCCAGGTGGTCTAAACCAGAGATCCCCATTCCATTTCTCCAGACCCCCTCATTTTGCCACTGAGCTAGTTTAAAAATTGAAGGTGTATCATGATCTTGAACAACATTTAGCACTTTCTAAGTCTTGGAATGGGGCAAGAAGAAGAAAGGTGGTGCTGAATTCCTGTGAGGCAGGACGCAGGAACCAGGAGGAGCCTGGTCTAACCTACCCTCTCTGCTCTCTTCTCAGGCTACGTGCAGGCTTGCCGAGCCCTAATGATTGCTGCCTCAGTTCTGGGTCTGCCAGCCATTTTGCTGCTGCTGACAGTTCTCCCCTGCATCCGAATGGGCCATGAGCCTGGTGTAGCCAAGTATAGGCGGGCCCAGCTGGCTGGCGTTATGCTCATTCTACTGGGTAAGCTTCCTTCCTGCCTCCTGACACCTGAGCTCTGAAGAAACCTCAGATCTTGTGGTTGCTGCTTCATCCAACTCAAGAGAAACGTGAAAGGAAGCCGAGAGAATCCATGGGGCAATGGACCCCCATAATCAGTACCCCTTTATATTCTATGGGAAGTTTAACAGAGGGAGAAGTAACATCTGTGTGTGGGGGGAATATGAAAATAAATTTTAGAAAAGAAACAGAAAGATTTTGGGAGTAGGAAGTATTTAAAGCAGACTAGAAGGACAGAGAGTTATGTGGTAGCACTGTACTCAGGCTTCTGGTGGAATCCCTCCTAGAACACCTACCTATACCCATGCCCTTGGGTAGCTCAATTGAATCTGAATTTTCTTGGGATCAGGCTAGGGAAAGATATTTTTAGGAAACTCCCAAGATGATTCTTATGTGCATCCAAGACTAAAAACCTCAGCCAATGTATAAAGGAAGAATAGAGAAGGAGGAGGGCAAGAGAAGAGGTGGAGGTGATAGACCAGTAGGTGATGATTCGATATTGTAATCAATAAGTGCTCATTAAGCATATGCACCAGACACTGGTAGGCACTGGGGAGTCTGGGGGAAAAGTGGCTCTGTGCTTTGAGTGTATACAAACTGCTTGATAGAACAATACAGTGTGGCACATGCTTATCTCAAATAGGCAAGGCACACATGTAGGAAAGCATCTAACCCAGACTGGAAGAGTTTCCCAGAGCAGAGAAATGCAGTGAGAAATCTTAAGATTTGGAGATAAGGTGGTCAGGTCATGGATTGGAGGGAGGGACAGTCCAGGGAGAGGAAATGACCTGTTCTCTTTTAGCTTTGCTGATGAAGTTTGCACACAAGGATTCATTTAACAACCTGTGATGGGTCCTTCTAGCTCTGTCCACTTTAGTGAGTTCATTTCTCTCCATTTTTTTCTTGGACATTAATTCTTTTAGCATGCTCTAAATCTTTATAGAGGATGTGAATTTTAAGAGATGTGGCACTTTTTGCAATGTGTACATATCACTGAGAAGAAACTGGTTGGGATATAGGTTAGATATAAAGTCACCTTCTCCGGGGGCAAAGAATCTCCCCCCCGCCAAAAAAAAAAAGAGAAAACTGGAATATCAGATCATGTGCTTGAGGAATAAGAAGAAGGCGTCTGTGTAGGGTGATGCCACTTAGATGGTCACCTCTGATCTGGAAGCTTCTCACCCTCAGTGAGTCCAGTGAAGCGAGAGACGAGAGAGGTGGGTTGCACAGGATGGAGGTTTGCAGGGTCTTGTGAAGCCATGGGGAAGTCAAAGGTGGAATTTGTGTTCATGGGTATGTGCATGTGCAACGAGTGACTAAAGACCAGACAAGAGTCTGGGTATGGAAATTTTGATGCCTGCCACAAAGAATCTATGTGCCTGCGCCAGATGGAGCACGTGATCAGCCTCCTGCTTTACTTAACTCACACACACTCCCTCTCCTGCTTTCTGGTGGTCAGATTCCCAGTCCAATTCTCTTCCCAATGGGAAGGCCAAAGCTGTACGAGAAAGCTGTTGTGGAATCAGGTGAAGCCCCTTGTATCCTAGACACTTGCTGTTTGTTGCTTTCCTCATATTCTCACAGAAGCCCCAGAAGGTTCTCTTGGGCTCTGAAGAAGGCAGAGTTAAAAGTTGAGTCTGTAGTCTTAGGTGTTTATCTTTAGAAATTCTGGCCTTTCACTTAAGAGTCACAGTGTAACTTCCAGAAAGCCTGTGGAAGATACGGGGATAATAGCAAGGTCTATATAGACAAACTGGTTTCAAAACAAAACAAAATCAAAACCTGAGAAACAACCCAATTGTCTAGCTGAATATCCAGGGTTATTTGGAGATCTGAAACTTCCTAGCTGAATTAGTTTATCGTTTAAAAAGTGCTTGGTTCAGATAGAATCATAGATGAGGAAAGTGGGGTGGGGGATGGGGGATGGATGTTCGCCTTTAGTCCCTGTTTGTGCCCTGCGAAACTGTGGGAGAAATAGGGTATTGAGTGATCTGAACCCTCACTTTTCCAGCTGCTCACCATTTTGATGGGATGAGGGGCTGTGCATGGCCTGTTTAATGGCCTACCTTCTCCAATACAGTCTGCTTTTTTGCTTGCTTCTGTCCGGGTCACCATTTGCCTCTGGGTTGAATGTTATTTTGACTGGATGGCACCAGCTCTGGAAATGTAAAGCTCATTGTCTCAAGTGTGGCACCTGCTCATCTCCTCTAGGTCTTCTCCCCCCAGTCCCCATGCCTTGTTTTCCTCTCTGGGTAGTGAGTGGGAGGAGCCACAGTGAAGGCTTCCTTTGTGTTGCTCTGGTTTGGTTTCTGTCACTGTCCTGGGAGAAGCCAGTGCTGGGCCTGTGCTGGGTCCCAGGGGTCACCAGATGGTACTCCAGCTGAGGTGTGGTTGCTGACCAAAGGGGATAGAACAGCACTAGTGTTGGGGGCCTGGGAACTGGTGTAGTGTCACAGCTCATCCTGATGTGGAACCTGCAAACACCGTTAAAATCGGTTCTTCCTGACCCTGAATATCTGTGGCTATTTTTCTGAAAGCTTAAAAAAAAATTATGCCTGTTGTACAACTCTATCTTCTCAGCAGTCCGAGTTTAATGGTGTGAGGATTTGGTTCCTGCTGTGGGGAAGGAATTGAAGCCTGGTTCTGTGGCATCTTAAGCCAGATGAGTAGCTCAAGAAGCAGCAGGCGCCTTGGATCCTGGGTAGATCTGAGGCAAATCGAATCTGTTTGTAGATTTTCAACAGTCCCTGCCAAGGCAGGAGATGCCTATGCTCTGAATTATTTTATCTTGTCAGATGGAGTCAGACCCAACTATACTGAATCAAAAATCGATTGCCTTCTAGCTGTGTGTCACTTAATTTCTCTAAGCCTTTCTGTAGAATGGAAAGGTCAATGCCTCCCTCTCAGGTTGGTAAGAATGGGGAAGTGGTATATGGACATTATTTAGCACATAGTGAGCGTTCCATGAATGATTGCTATTATTGCTGTTATTATTGGCTTAGAAGTAATAGAGAACTGACCCAGAGGGCAGCTGGGTACTCTTCCAGTCACATCTGAGTTCTGCAGGGTCACCTCCACACATGGAACTGGTGAGGAGAGACGCTAACCTGTTTCTGGAAACACCAGTTCCTCCCCAGGCCTAACAGAAATATTTCCTTTGTTTACGCCATAGAAAACAGAATGTGGGGATTAATAGTTGGAGAATTTTGCTTATCCCATTATGAAAAGTCATGGAAAATCCTGGATCTTTATTTTCACTTAATCTAATTCTTAACTTGCTAGAAGTCAGAAAGAGCTTTATTCAGGTATCTCTTAGGGAATGGGGTGGCATCTTTCATCTTCTCTTTTTCCTTTTTCAACATCTGGCCCCGGTAACTCTATTTGTACTGGAAAATGTTGTTTTAACTTGGAACTTTTAGGTTAATAGTGAACTGTGGTAAAATAAAGGATTTGGGCAGATGTGACCCAAAATTGATCTTGTCACACACCCTGAGTCAGATTTCCTGCAGGGAGGGAAAAGGAGTCCTTGGGTTTAGAATGAATAGTGATGTTTTGGTTAGGGCTTTCAGAGAATAGTTAGAAAAACGTTCCTCCAAATTCATTAGTTTTAGTGCCTGGGCCAAACACATTTTCATACAGGTAGCGGAAAGGGTGTGGCATTTGGATAAGATTATGGCTTACAAAGTGACCTTATCAGTAGACTTGAGGCACTACCTGCTTTATGAATCCTTCCTGTCTCTAATTCTGTGATTTAAAAAAGTAAGTTAACAGGTAGCTGGAATGTGGCATAGTGGTAGAACACTTGTCTAGCATGCTTGAGGTTTTGGGTTCAAGCCCTAGCACCACACACACACACACAAATAAATAAAAATAAATGTAACAAATAACCATGAGTCTTGCTTTCAAAAGCCATAAGAAACCAGGCACTGGTGGCTCATACCTGTAATCCTAGCTACTTGGGAGGCAGAGATCAGGAGGATTGAGGTTTGAGGCCAGCCCAGGACAATAGTTTGCATCTCCAAAAAAACCAGAGCAAAATGTACTGGAGGTGTGGCTCAAGGAATAAAGTGCCTGCTTTGCAAGTGCAAAACCCTGAGCTCAAACCCCAGTCCCACCAAAAAAATAAAACCCACCCCCCCCAAAAAAAAAAAGCTATAGGGGAAAAAAAAAAGATAATGACACTTGGAACAAAATCAGTGGGAAATGTTGAAAGCAAGCCAAGAAAATAAAGGAATCAAATATTCCATTGACTTGATGATTATTGTGAATGTTAGATCTTCCGAAAGCCATGTGTGTAAGAGGAGTTTGTCTTCCAGCAGCTGTGTTTTCTTATGCCAACATTTTAGAAAATGACAAATGACAAAAAGAAAACTCAAACTTTGTAAGTTTCAAATGAGAACAGAGCAATAAATAAATATGACCGGAGCCGAGAGTTCCTTAGCATCTCGTTACTTATTGTCTTAACCAATTTCTTTCTGTCTTTTGTGAGACAGGGTCTCACAATCAAACTCACAATCCTCCTGCCTCTGCCTCCTGACACTGGGATTACATTCATGAGCCACTACTCCCAGCTGCCTTAGCCAATTTCTTTATGAAAAGCTAAAATTAGTTGCTACTTAGGTTGTATGCTATATATTATAGTATTGATTGTAGAAGATAGGGTTCAAAGTATTGTAAAATAGAGGATTTAAAAAATGTCTGTTGTGGAAAATTTCAAACCTACATAAAAGGAGAAAGAATAGCGTAATAAATCATCATGAAGCCAAACTATCTCAACCAGTGACCACCTCACCATCTGTCGGCTCCATCTTTCCACGTCTCCATTTCTTCCAGGCCCCAGATGTATTTGGTGTGAATCTCAGCATATTAAAGGATACTTTTTCTCCAGTATTGCTAATATAGTCAGAAGAATTTAAGTAAGTGTGATGAAAATAGAACTTTGTATGCTAGAATGGTGCTTTTAAAAGTCCTTTCAGTACCTACTATTGAAAGTGACAAAACCTGAAAAAAAGTGTGTTCTTTACAGGAAGGATGAAATGTCATTGTGTAGTGATATTTCTTTGCCTCTGTTTTTCTCTCAATTGTTACCTCCCAAATCAAAAAGAAAGCAGATCTGTATCAATTTTAATTTCATCACATTTAATTTTCTTTTTTGCTAGCAAATTTTTTGTTCACACCTAATAATTGTACATATTTAAGAGGTTGTGTTTATCACATTTATTTAATTCTCTAATATAACCATGTGTCTTTTAATCTCTAAAAGGATGAAAAGCTATACTTATGTTTCATTCCTCTAAAATTGCCTTCCCAAATAATTTCTGCTTGGTTAAATAAAATCATTAACTTTTAAAGAGGGTGTATCCTATGAACTAATGAACACATTGGATTACATTTTTGGGAACTTGCTCTCAAAAGAGGCAAATGATTTTAATCTTTGAAGAGCAAGGGATTCTACTTAGAGAGGACCATGTCCAGTGAAACTGGGTCTACATAGTAAGGTCTTTTTTCTCCTCTTCCTCTTTTAGCTAAGAATATCTTCAAGTTTTTACTCTGTTTCTCCAAACAAATAGCAAATTATCCCTCACTTTTCCTGAAGTAAACCATGCAACTTCTGAAGGTAAAAGAGGAGAAAAAGTGAAGAATCTGAGTGGGAACATTCCTGTTTGTTTTTAGAGATTTAATTTGAAAATAAGTTCTGATAGTATAAAGTGAGAAAGTACAATCTTCTTTGTGTTTCTTTAATTTTCTTTACCTACAGGTAACTGACTTTTAGGAAAAAAATGCCTATATTTTTCTTAAGTAATAGAACCATTCCAAACTCTGTCTTTCGCTTTTCTTTTCCTTTTAGTCTGCACGTAGAAATAAATTCAGCAAGCCTTTTATGTCTTTAAGAGAGCTAAAAAGTTGTGCAGTTTTCTTACTATTTCTCATGTTTGAGTAAAGTAGTGATTTGACTTGCAATTTAGCTTTCCTCTTCAAGATGTATCCTTTTCTCCCCTCAAACCACTGCTAATACTAAGTCAATTTTTTAAGTTTCCAAACATTTTTCATTTTGAGTTCAATTGGAGGTCACTGTTTCAAGTGAGCCTCTCATTTCCTTTCATGGTTCGTGGTGGACTGTCATTTCTTAGTGGTTTTGATGTGGTTCGTTGTTGAGAGCTACAGGAATTCTACCCAGAAGTTCATTTATCTCCTAGGAAGAGCAGAGCCTGCTGGTGCTCATTTGCCTGTGCATGCTTTATGAAAGCAGGAAGTTTTTAATGATGTAAATTATGAGCCTGTGACTCTAAGTGTGTTAAAGTCACATTAAGGTTTTATGATTTTGGAAGTTAGCTTTGCTGTGTTGGGAGGGGAGAGTAGAACTGAACTACAGAATGTCTGTCTGTCTATCTTTCATATGTCCACCCATTCACTCATCCAGCCTTTGGAGGTTCATTTTATTGATTTTTAGCCATTTTTCTTGTTTACCCTTTTTCTAATAAAGTCTAACAAAGTCTCTGAAACATGCAAAATCACCTGATGGTCACTTTTGGAATTTTGAGCCTGGTTCTTTTCCTAGCTAAGATAACCCAGTTTTATTACTTTGCTTGGGAAATGAATTTATAGGCAATTTCTTTGTCTTCTATAAAATCTAAACCAAATCTGAAAGTTGCTTTTGAGATCTGAGGAATGCTTTCATGCATGTGCATGTATGTGTGCTGTACGTGTAAATACAAAGTAATTGAAAAACATACAACTTAATTTGAGCTATCAGCTCTTTCAAAACCAGTTAGTTGCTTATGGGACAGATTGGTTAGAGTGAAACAAATCAATTGATTGTGAATTAAACCTTTCTTTCCTATATACTTTAGCTTTTTACTTCCTGCTTTTTCCCTCTAAACATGCCAAATGTTTGGAAGTGGTTGTCAGTTGCTGTTTTTGCCCATGTTGGGGGTGGGTGCTGGGTTGTGTGTCGCTGTGGGGAATCTTTAGCAGTTGCTGGCTTAGAGTTCTCTCTGGCTGAAAACACTCTAGGAGAGGATTTCTATCCCTATCCTCATAGAGAAAAAGGCTTTTCTCGGTATATGAGGTTTTCGAAGTCCTAGGTTTGAAAGCAGGATGTGTGGAGGCAGGGGGTAGGGGAATGATTCAGATAAATGTAGATCTTCTTCTGGGGTGCAGGTGGCGCACACCTGTAATCCTAGCTACTCAGGAGGCAGAGATCAGGAGGAGTTGTTTGAAGCCAGGGCTGGCAAATAGTTCGTGAGACTCTATCTCAAAAAAAAACCCTTCACAAAAAAAGGGCTGGTGGAGTGGCTTAAGGTGAAGGCCCTGAGTTCAAGCCCTAGTACCACACACACACACACACACAAAGTCAGTCTTCTTAAACATTTTCTTCACAGAAGGAAAATATCTCCTCTCATGATGTCTCCTATAAAAGCATTACAGAAACAGGTGGAATTGTGATTCCTTTTTAAAAAAAAGGAATCTGTTAACATATAAGATTGTAGCCTCTTAGGGTAGGAGGCCAGCAAGGAAAAAGTTAGCAAGAGCCTATCTCAAAAATAAAATACAAACAAGGGCTGGAAATTTTTTTTAGCTTCTTTGGCAATCTATATAAATTCCTTAATTCTGTGAGCTGCTTCACAATTAATGGAGTTACTTTAGGCTGCTAGAAAAGGACAACCCCTAAAGCCCTTCTCTTGCCTGTGACTTCCACTTGCCATCCATCCCTTTTCTTTTCATTCTTTCTTTTATTTTATCATTTTACATGTGTATACATTGTTTGGGCCACCTCCTCCCTCCTCCTGCCTTCCCCAGCCTTTTTTTTTTTTTTTTTTGGCAATTACTGGGGTTTGAACTCAGGGCTTTGTGCTTGCTAGGCAGGAGCTCTACCACTTGAGACATGCTTCCAGTCCATTTTTTTTCTTTCCTTTTTACACTTTTTCTTCTCTTTTGTTTTCTCCCCTCCTCCCCCTCCCCCTTTCTTTCTTTTTGACAGTGTCTTGCTATATAGCCCAGGCTGGCCTTCAACTCTCAATCTTCCTTCTTTAGTCTCCTGAGTGCTGGGAATACAGACATATACCTCCACAGCTGGCCTGGGATCTATAATTTTTTAGAATAGGAATCACATTATTTATGTGTGTGTATGCTCAGCTTCTAGGGGTGGGCTTAGTCTGTTGTGAGCAACAAAAGAAGCCATGTTACAAACGACACAAATGTGATGAGATAGTTTAAGGTCTTTCAAAATGGGTCACACTTAAATCTTCAGCTTAGACTACTGTGTGGGCTGTTATATTTGAAAGCTTATGCTGAACAAAAATTATATTTCTTCTTTGTGGGCAGAAAGGGTAGGATAGAAAATCTTCAGTATGAGTGGAAATTGGAAAAAACCTTGAGTCAAAAGTGACAAGTACACCCCAGGTGGCAGACACCAGAAGGCATTGCACTGCCCTGTCTTGATTTTGTTGATGGCTAACGGTTGGAAATCACGTTATTGTTATGAGTTTTATGTCTGCAACTTTAATGTGCCATCTCAACTTCATGTTTTAACTGAAATTTCTGTCCTGCCTACAGTGGTGAGAAATCTGATACCAAAGGAAGTCCTGGAGTTACTTTGTCTAGAACTGCGTTTTCCAGCGGAGTAGCCACTGGTTACATGTGATCATTAAAATTAAAAGTTAAAAAATCAGTTTTCCAGTCTCACTCAGCTCATGACAGATGTTCAGTGTTTCTATCTAGCTTGTGGCTACCCTATTTAATAATGCTAGCCTCGAGGTTTAAAAGATTTTCAAGTCTTTATATGCTCTCGACTGCTCTTGTTTTATTGCTTGGCTTAGGAAAGGGAAAGAACTAAATAATGTGGAAGCCATTTCTTAATCTAGAAAATGTGAAACTAATATGAAGGTTATAATGACTGGTGCAAGACCATAAATACGGTTTTATCATCGTGACCCATCGTAACAAATGCCATCATAGAATTCTTGAGTAGATGAATTCTTTTACTAACAGGACTGTTCATTTATGTGTTGAGAGTTTGTGATTGTGAATAGCAGACCCTTAGCTGATATTCCACTTTTGCCAAGCAATATTTGCTATAGCAAGAGAAATTGCAATAGCTTCTTCAGGTTTTTGTCAGGTGAATTGACCCAACTGAAAAATAAAGAGTGGAAAACTGAGGCGGGAACCATCGTGTTCTCCATCTCTGAATTAGCTCAGGCCACTCAGCCATTGAGCACATGCTATGTACTGGGTAGTAAGCTAAGCATTTACTTTATGGAAACAACCCCTGCCTTCAAGGAACTCAGAGTGTGGAATAGGAAACAGGCATGTGAAGAGTTAATTACAATAGAACGATAACTAAAGATATAAAGTCCTGACTAACAAGGAAAAACAAATATTTTTTGAACCTAAATGATTATTTCTAGGTTTTTGCATGGGAGCTCTTTGGCCTCTGCCACCTGTTGAAAAACCTAAGGACCCAGAGTTTGATACCAGCTTTTAGTCAACCGATTGTATAGACACAAACTTGTAGGTTCCAATTGCTGAGGGAATGAGGCTGTGAGTATTGGGTTTTGCGGGGCTGTTTGGAAAGCGTGGATCTGAAGAGTGAGTGGTATGTGATGAGTCACAGCTCTCTTCATGTTTCCCCAGCTCTCTGTGCCATTGTTGCCACCATCTGGTTCCCTGTGTGTGCCCACCGTGAGACCACCATCGTGAGCTTTGGCTACTCCCTGTACGCAGGCTGGATTGGCGCTGTGCTGTGCCTTGTGGGTGGCTGTGTCATTGTTTGCTGCTCTGGAGATGCCCAGTCGTTTGGTGAAAACCGTTTCTACTACTCTTCAGGCTCCAGCTCCCCGACTCATGCCAAGAGTGCCCACGTATAAGAGCTGCCAGGCTGCCACCAAGGTGCTGTAGATGCTGGGCCCCTGGGCCCTGGGTTTGCTTGCCACAGTGTGTGTGTGTGTGGGGAACCCACTTCTCCACCAGGCACCAAAGCCAAAGGTCTAGAAAACATCGTGTCTGGCATTTTGTAGTCTTAACACCCCATCCACCCCACTACCTTTTTGTTTTTGTTTGTTTTGCCTTAAAAGAAAGTGCTAGCTCAGATAATGCCCACTGTTTCTTATGGGATCGTCCACTATTAGCTCTTTTCTTGGGCATTCCTTTGTTTATTAAAAACTTGTTTCTTTCTAAATTTTAAGTATCTTGCAAACATTGCTGAGTTGGGTGTGGGTGAGGGAGAGAAAGAAAAGACACTTTTCAAGCTGTTACGAATGACAATGGGAGCTTCATAAAGATGCCTCTCAGTGTCCTCCCTTCTCTCCATTCCAAGGTCATTTACTTATAAGAGTTAGAAAAAGATAGAATCTGGGACATGGGGTGGGATGGGAGGAGACTTGTGGAACTTTCTCTCCATGGGAAAGCTTTTCTTTTAAAAGTAGAGGGCAAGGGGTGGGGATCTTTTTTAGTTTATGATTTTAAATTTATCTGTACATACTTTTTCAAGATTGATCATTTTTATAACTGTGGTTTCCTGAAATTCTCAAGATATCAATATGAAGGAAATGAACCAAATAAACTTTAATTATGCCATAAATAACAAGTGAGTATAACTTTAACTGACATTCCACAATACATTTTTGATTCCCAGGTTTGCATGATGTAGTTTTTAATCCTACACTTGTGTATGCTTCAAATTAACACATTTTTAAAGCTTGTTTCCCTTTCTCTCTCTGTTTTCATTCTGTTAGCTATCTTGAAGTGATGTTGTTAACATAAATTATACTGTTGAATTTGGCTTTACGGGTGTAAACACTGATGGCACATCAGTATCTGAGACCCAAGACTCTCCAAACATGGGTGGTGCATTTTGTTCTTCAAGTGAAATCTGTGCAATAAAATAACAAACTGTCTGCAAAACTGGCCTTCAATCTTCTGTTATATCCGGAGGTATCATCTGCTGATTTAAAAACTTTTTATTAGTCTCTATTAGAGAGAACCTGATCAGTGAGTAAAAAACAAACCATCTGTATTGGCCTGAATATTAAAAAGTTATATCTTTTTTCATTATATCATGGTGGCAATATGTGATCATAAAAATGTAATCCAGATGTTCTCTAGGTTTCCTAAATTGAGTGACTTTATGGACTCTTGAAGTCATGGGTAAATTGGTGGCCATGAGAAACCAAGTTCTAAGCATGATGCATTTATTATTACTATTATTTTTTGATTGTTCTGGGGTTCGAATTCAGGGTCTTACGCTTGCTAGGCAGGTGCTCCACCACTTGAGCCACTCCACCAGCCCAGCACGATGTGTTTAAACTCCTTTATCTCCTTTGAATAGTTAGTAGAGGGATCGGCTAGGTACAAAGGGAGAAGTAAACAAACCTTTGTTACTGGATTTAAGTATTAGTTACAAAACTTAGATGTATTTTGTCCAAACATAAACATGTAGATCTTTGGAAGTTTTGGACAAAGACACATTGAGTTGAGTTTTGTTTTCTATTCCAGAAACTCTGTCAAGTTATGGGGCTGCTGTAAGAAGCAGATTATAATCTATCTTGGCAGACTTTTTCCAAAATACTAATTTTATTAGCTAGTATATAATAATTGGCAAACATTTCCATTTTGGAAATATTTGCAGAAATAAGTGTACATTAGGATATTATAACCTAGTGGGAACGATTTCTAAGTTACGTATGCAGAAAAGACAATCTTCATGTTGAGAAAAATACTTGCTTTGCAGGATACAATTTGGTAAGGATGTCATATGATTATATTGAAGGACCCCCTTATCTCATTTAAACTGGTCAGGATATAAGGAGTATGAATGTGAATGAGCAAATGGTACAGGGTGGGAGGAATAGAAAAGTAAGGCTATGTTCTTGTTCCCTCTCCTCACAATCATTCAGAAGCACCATCAAACAGTAGCTCTCTCTCTTAGGGACTTGCTATTTTTACCTATCTGCCTCCTTCCCCCAGGCTGTGCTTGTTTTGTCCTCAGGAGGGGATGTGTTGTTACCTAAGCCCCACTTTCCCTATAGCATAGGAGGGAAGACCTCAAGTTTCTCCTAGCTGATGTTGCCTGACCAGTCAGGGAATTCCATTTTTTTAGTTCTCAGTCATACCTATAGTGTAAGGATTCATTAACAGTTTGAGGTAGAAAGGTAGATGTTCCTTTAGAGCGGCACTGTCCAATGGAATATGTGAGCCACATATGTAATTTGAAATTTTCTAAGAATCACACTTAAAAAGCTAAAACTAAACAAGTGAAATTAATTTTAATATATTTTATTTGATTTAGTACACCCAAAATATTACCATTTCAATACGCAATCATTCCTAGGATATTTGACAAAGTTCTTTTTGTATTGAAGTTTTGGATTCCGATGGGCTTTATGCTTACAGCACATTTTAATTTGTGCTAGCCACATTTCAAAGGCTCAATAGCCACTGGTGGTTAAAGGCAGTTGAATTGGATAGCATAACTATGAATAGTTTCTATCTCAGAAATCATCAAGAGGGATTATTTTATCTGCTTTCATTAGAATCCATTAGAACTTGACAACTACAAACTATTGAACAGTTAGAATAAATCTTCCCTGATCCAGGTGAAGAAAATGAGCCCCCAATCACATATAAAATGGCAGTCCTACAAGTACTCTATAGGGAAAAGGGAATGCATGATAATGAGGCCTGCTTGTGATAGCTGAGGAAAATGAGATGTCTCCATAAAGCTAGAAGGGATTTAAGTTCATTTAACTCTAAGGCCCTCGTTCTCCAACTTAAGAATCACTTTAGGGGGCTGGAAGCTTGGCTCAAGCAGTAGAGTACCTGCCTTGCAAGTGTGAAGCCCTGAGTTCAAACTCCAGTAGTACTACCACAAAAGAATCACTCTAGGCAGTCAGGTAAAATACACATTCACTCTCTTCTTCCCCAGATGTCAGATTTGGATCTGGTTCCAGACCCAAGGCTCCGCATTTTTATTGTGCACTCCAGTGATTCTGAGAAACACTGAGTGTAAAAACTTCCTTCTCAGATTCTCCTGGGCACTCTTAGTACTACCCTATCCTTTCTTTGATGTCGTAGAGGTTAGATGATTTTGAAAGTTAAAGCATCCGTCTTCTCCCCACTCTTTACAAAAAATTTTTTTTGGTAGGACTGGGGTTTGAATTCAGGGCTTCACACTTGAAAAACAGATTCTCTGCAGTTTGAGCCACACCTCCATTTCCCTCTCTCCACTCTTTAGACTGTTCTGAAGGCACAGCATACAGAAGATTTTTAGATTGAAAATGAAGCAGTCCTGTTTTTGCTTTCCAAGAACTTGATGGAAAGTAAATTAGAGAAAAGATTGTTTCAAGGGAATCTGTGTTATCTAGAGATGTTAGCTACAATGAAAGCAGCAAAAAGAGAAGATTGTGTAAAGAATACAAGTTACATATTTGTGCTGAATTGGTAGTTTGGTGTAACAATAGAACAAGGTTTGGTTGTATCGTGTCCTTTTTTTTTAAATTAAAAAAAAAATCTACGTGTCAGTGTTTCTGTATACAATGTACACAATGTGAACTGCGACATCTTAACTGTTTGGCAGGACACTCATGCTCATGACATCACATGCCGGGAGGACAGGGAGGCCACTGTGGGGCTGGCCCTGGGGAGGGCTAGCATCAGTGCCGCCATTGAGATGTCCCCACAAAAGACTGTGTGACAGCCAGCTGTGCAGCTTAATGAAGACTGAGCAGGATTGTAGGGGGGGAGACATTGGTACATGCTGCTGATGGCTTGAATAGCAGCTCTTGAGGAATCTATATTTCTCTACCTCACTCAGAATCTCAGAGGTTGAGCTTTGTGGCCCTGCGGCCGGGGGAGGGAGTGGAGATGGGGGGACTTGTCACTGCTCCATGCTCCATTGTTGAAGTAGAACATGTGGAAATGTTAAGCCATTCTTAGAGGACTTGTGGAAGGCAAGAACTGCTTACTTTTTACATCCAAATTACATCGAGCACCTGATTGTCACAATGTCATGGAGGTTTTCTTGAATTCATACTGTTGTATCTCTACTTTTCTTACATTGAGTCACACACAGCTGTGATTTTCAGTCTGGAATGCACATCTAGACCACCTGGGGATCTTGTTAAAATGCAAGTTCTGATTCAGCAGGTGAGGAGGAGCCTGAGATTCTTCATTTTTATTTTTGGTGGCACGGGGTTTTGAACTCAGGACCTCATGCTTGCTAGGCAGGCTCTCTACCACTTGAGCCACTCCGCCAGCCCTTTTTTGGTTGAGATTCTTCATTTCTAACACACAAACTTTCAGAGGATGCTGATGCCACTGGTCCTAGACTCACAGTTTGAGCAACCAGTCTTTGGAGGCTGTATAACACCTGGTGAACTGGTGAATGGTGACTCTCTTGTGGCAGACACTAGGAATGGTTCTTTGCCTTTCCAAAGAATTCAGGAGCGTCACTGACCAATAATTCTTCTGCAGAATCATTCATTTGGCTTCAAGGGTTTGTTCCTCATTAAAACAAGCACTCGCCCACGTGAGCTGGCGCACACTGATATTCCCAGCTACTTGGAAGGCGAACATAGGAGGATCATGGTCCAAGGGCTGCCTGGGCAAAGTTATTGAAAAAATAAAGCAAAAAGGACTGAAGATGTGAGTCAGGTGGCAGAGCACTTGCCTAGCAAGCTCAAGGCTTTGGGTTCAAACCTCAATAATGCCAAAACAAACAACAAAAACAAACAAATAAAACAGGCAGTGGAATGCTGGGTGAGCTGACTGGTACTGGTTCATGAAAGCTATGAATCAGTACCAGTTTTCAGGAATTTTGTGAGCTAATTTATGTAACATAGGTAGCTTGATAACAACCATGGTGGGATAT